CAGCGTCCTGTGGAACGAGGTAGCACAGCTGCGATCGTTTCATACAAGAACGCCAATTATTTTAAAATTTTCCAGTGCTTTATTAGTTCCATAAAGTGCGCTCCAAATAACTAAGCATTTCTCACCAAAAATAGAGAGCCATCACCGGATGCGGGCAGCGTGGATTGAGCGTTTTTCTTGGCCTTTCTTTCTGATACTTCTTGTGCATTTCGAAGTGCCGCACTAGAACCTCGGAGGATGTCAGTGACCTGCTGTGAGAGGAATGATAATGCCGGATAAGAAAGAAGAAGCGTCTGCGTTGCCGGCGGTAGCGCAATCGGCCTCCGAGAAGACCCGAGGCTCGGAGGCCGTCCAAAAACAGCAGGCAGCCATTGATGCCTTTGCTTGAGCCCACACCTACCCCCTCTAGAAAAAGGGGGCAGCGTCTCGAGGACAGAGACCAGTTCCTCCAGGTCGTGGCCCGCCGTGCCGTTCCAGAACAGGGCCAGCCCAACTTGTGAGGGATGGCTTTGTAAGAGACCCAGGCGGTGACCGTCGGAGCCGAGACTGCTGCACCGTCCAGACCCAGACGGACAGCTCTGACTGGCAGCTGGGTTTCTCCAAGGTTGTGTGCGGGATGCTCTTTCCTAGCGCTCTTTGCAGATCCGTCGTGATCTTGCAACCAAGTACCATCTAGACACCACCCTTGCTTCGCTTCCGACATCAGAGGAGAAGATGTGTTGTATTCAGGGCCCTTCCAGGAGGTGCCTATCAGGAGATCCATAAAGGGAGGGAAGCCAGGCTCATATTTTTATACAGAGAGGAGGGTTTGACATTTCCAGTGGCAAAATATTTTGAAGGTTCGCCTTCCCTGGAGCGCATGGAAATCTGACACATGGAAATCTTCTTTGTCTCCGGTTTTCTGCAACTGACCCCTGCATAAACACTCCAGCGTTGGAGATTGTACGAGTCACAGATATGTTCGCGCCGAGTTGAGTGGCTGGAACTTACCAGGTGGTTCCGTCTGTTTGCTTAAAGCAAGGCTGGCATCCTCAGGAAACGGAAAACTGAGTCTTCCCTCTTGCCCGCTGTATCTTTCTTCTGGGCTTCCCTGGCGTACATGGCACCTCAAGGGTATCAGTTCCGTATCTCTCATGAGCCCGTCAGGAGTCTGTAGAACTCCCTGCAGGAGCCCTTTGGCCTTGAAATCCATCTCACCACCTTCGCCTTACTGATGGTGGGAAGGTACTTGAGGAGTGGTTCTGGGCACAGGTTGGGGGCTGCAGTCTACGCCACTCCCTTCTACTGAGCCGGACTCTTGGCCCACCCGGCCCTGGGTGGACAACCAAAACTGGCAGCTGCAACTGTCTCAATGCTTTCTAGCAGGGTTTTTTTTCCCATCCCTACCTAGAGAGGAACCCGGCTGGGCTCAGAGAATGGGCTCTGCCACCGAAGCACGGAAGCAGCCACGTGGCAATTTCACACAGCATAGCCCTGCCTAGGTTCTCTGAAGAGCGGCGTGGCATCAAGGAAGATTCGGTGGACCGAGAGTGTCCCGAGCAGAAGGGAGGCAAGAAAGCCCTGCCGTTTGGCACGGAAGGTTTCTGAGTCTCGGGGCTAGGTTGTGAACGTAGAGTCGAGGAGGTCTATGGGGGCAGCCTGAGTCTCCTCAGAGGAGCAGCCATGAGTTGCCCAAAGTGAGAAAAAGCAGAGCCACGTAGGAGGTTCTCCCAGGTCCAGCATCTCCAGAACTTCAGCAGCTCAAGCTCTTCTTCCTTGAACCAACGTCAGCTGACCCGTGAGGTCCTCTGCGCAGAAATTGGATCAAGCAGCTCATTAATTTTCCCATCACTTCAAGCAGCCCCAACTGAAAATCTTATTCAGTTCCTGGAAGCCGAGAAATATTTAAACACAGCCGTTTTGCTGCTCCTCTGTTTTCTGGGTCTATCAGCCCAGAAGGCCAGTGCCTTTCCCCCACCCCACCCCAGGGAAGGTGGATTTATTTCCATTTCCGGGGGCAGTTTCTTAGAAGATGGTGTGTGGTTCACCTCCACCTGACCCTAAAGATTTCAGCTCACGGTCTCTGCTAGAGACGGACATTGCGTTTATCTGCTCCCCTCTCGAGTTGCCACAACTTGTCTAAGGTGACACCTCCATCTCCATTTCCAGAGCGCTGCAAATGAAAAGGGCGTTCAGATGGGCCGAGCAATATGACCTGGAAGAAAGCACTCTGAAATAAGATTGCACGGTGTAGGCAGGAAGGTGGGCCTGGGAATATGGAGAGCACGTCCAAGACTGTCACCTTGGAGCGACAGAAGATTGCACGGTGACCTTGTTCTATATCGGTGTGAAAAATAAGTTTGACCTGCCTTTCTCATATCACATTTGCCACGAGCGGAGGATTTAGTTTAGCAGAAAGAAGTGTTTTTTCCCCTGAATGTGTTTCCCAGAGGCGCCACACTGCCAGTGCTCGTTGGCTGCCTTCCATCGGCGCTGGTCTCGCTCAAGCCCTGCAGAAATGAGTTGTGTGCACCCGCATGCTAGCCTCTGTGTTTGCTGCAGCTGATGGCCTGGTCTTGCCAACAGTGGGACTCGGAGAGGCGGGCGGGCGGGCCACCTGCAGAGCTGGCCCCTATAGGCGCCGCGTCAGAGCTTTTCTGGCTCCTTTGTCCGGGCAGGTGCTCAGCCATCCTGTCAGGTAATAAAAACACATGTGCGAAGTTGCCCTTAGATTCTGGAACGGAAAAGGCACTGGGGTGTGTGGGTGTCCCGCCAGTTTTAAGAGTTTGGATTCCACCGCCTGAACTCGCCGGACGTTGTGGCTTGCTGCCGGAAGAAGCAAGTGGAACCAGCACTGTACTGGATGTTGTCCAGAAATCTTGGGCTTTTAGGAGCAGCGGGGAGGAGGAAGCGATCATCTCTGGGTGTCTAACGCTGGTTCAATCAGTGTCGGCAGCTTCACCACCAAGTTGTGCACTTATGGTAAACTCTGGCATGGAGCCTTCCCTATTGGGGCTTTGCAAGATTTCAGCCTCAACTAAAGTTCTCTGGTGTTCCGGTCGATGCCCTTCCTAATGATCCCGCTCGGGGCCCTTGTGTTGAATTCAGGGTTCTGCTTCAGTGCTGTCGCCCCAAAACGGCCCCTCCCTGGCATGGCCTCTTCCTTCCATGACCTTGGAAAGAAGGAAGAGCACTGTTTGCCCCTGGGAGCTTATGGCTGAGAGCCGTGGGGCCGATGGCATCCTTTTCCTTGGTCCACAGCCAGCTTTGCCCAGCTGACGCCGAGCATTGGACGTGCTTTTCGGCAGCATCATGCCTTCGGGAGGGGAAACACGCAGCGTGTTAGAAATAGTCTCCTGAGATTAGGCAGCGTGTGCTCTCCCTAAAGCGAATAGTTGAAAGGACCGGTGGATTACGAATGGCAAGGCGCGGTGGGGCGAACTTCCAAAAAAGAAATTAATTGGGGAAAGGGGTTGTCCTCGGACGGGTTCCTGTTTCATTTCTGCGTGTTGTTTTTAAACTGTTGGTCCCTGCAGAGGCCTGATGGTTGCCAGAGGGTCTCAGAGCCCCTTCCCAATGGGTCAGTGCTGGGGGTGGGAGCACTTTCTGGCTCTCCGGAGGCTGAGCAGTCGCTTGCGTGGAAGGATCTAAGCAGAAGGGTGGAAAGGCCCTCGCCCGTCCGCCCGGCGCTGCGCCAGTTACACAAGCCCATGGGCTGCTTTCAAAGGCAGTGTTGTGGACATGAAACACTCGTTAGAGGTCCATGCACCGCACGCTTCGTTTCTCAAAGGGAAAAAGGCACTGATGCACTGCAAAGACCTTGAGCAAATGGCCAGAAACTTTGAGGATTAAAAAAAAAAGAGAAGAACTTGTGTCATTCTTGGGAGGCAAAGCATCTCGTGGGCCTTGGACAGTCTGACTCTTGTCCAGGCAGCCCTGAAGTGGCCAGAGCGAATCTCGACGTGAGCCTCCTTCCCGTCTCCCAGCGGGTCGCAGTATGCAGGAATGGCATTGGTCGAGCTTCCCTCGTGTTTCATTTTCCTAACCCATAGGTCATGTCTTCCCTTTCTTGTGTAGGCCAGTCCCTGCCCCAGTTGGGAGCGTCCCTTTCCCCTACTCAGAACAGGGGATTGCGTAGGGAGCTGGAGTGTAGGGGCGCCCCTTTTGCCGTCCAGTGGCAGAAGGGGAGTGGAGGGGGATCTCCCTTGCAGGAATTATTTTTAACTGCCTGCCATCTGTCCTCCTTCCTCTCCTTGCGGTGGAAGCCAGATTCCCTTCCTAGGGTGTCTTAAGAGCCCGTGAAGGGTGACCTCACCTCCCTCGCCCCTCTTTTGAGCAGGCCAGCACGTGGGGGGGGGGAGGCTGATCTGACTGAACAGACCCTTGTGACAGGAAGCCAGGCTCAGAAAAAAACCAGCAGGCCTCCAGGTCATCTCCGACTCAATCCCAGAGGAGCTGGAGGATCGGGATTGGCGGGCCTCTGCCCCTCAGTGGGTTCCGCTGCTAGATCCCCCGAGCTCTCCAGCACCATTGGATGCAGTCAAGCTGTTCACAGGGCTTTTTGGAGCATGCGAGCTATTCAAGGAGGGTTTAGACACGTGGACTGCCCTCTGTCAGATCTGCTTGGATTTGGATTCTTGCCTTGAACAGGGGGGTTGGACTGGATGGCCTTCGAGGCCCCTTCCAACTTCATGACTCCATGACTCCACGGAAGGCGGAGTGGGAGGAAAGACCATGGGGGAGAGAAACGGCTGCGTTCTCTTAACTTGTGGCTACACCTCAGGATGGGTGATTTCCAGGGCGAATGGCAGAGTTTATAGGAAAGGTGTAAATTTTGAGGATGGGTGGATTGGAAGTTGAAGAGAGCATTGTGGCAGGGCCAAGGCGCGCTGGGAGGGGGGGGATGGAGGGGAATTTCCGGGATGGACAGGAGTGAAGTCACGGAAGAGGGCAGGAGATCAAGGATCATGGCCCAAGGCCGTTGCGCCATTTCACAAGGAGAACCGCTTTTATTTCCGCAGGGGACGATTATCGTCGGCATAGACGCCACCGACCTCTTTGATCGCTACGACGAGGAGTATGAAGATGTGTCCGGGAGCACCTTCCCTCATCTCGAAATTAACAAAATGTACATCTCCCAGTCCATTGAGGTAACTACATCTCTCTCTTAAGTCTTCCGCTCTGGCCAAAAGCAGAGTCCTTGTTTGGAGCATCTCTCTCTGTGTTCATGTGTGTGCATGAACGTGGGTTTTTTTTTTAAGTCTTTAAAGGCGTGGAGTTAATGAGACACCATGGCACAGAGCAATAGCAAAGGCAGTACAGCTCAGGGACGCAATTACTGGTCTTCAAATGCCCAGTGGGGAAGGCAGGCTCACTTCTAGCCGAGTTGCTTGCCGTGGGCTTCATCGGGAAAGCTCTGGCTGGCAGAGTTAGGCCACACCGTTTCCACTCTGGCCAAAAGCAGAGTCCTTGTTTGGACAGAGTTCACTGGTTCTGCCTCGCTGGGCATCCTTCTCCAATGCCCTGTCCCATGCCGGGGGCCAGTGAGGCCCGGACCCCCCTTTCTCCCTCATCTCTCCCTGTGTTTGGCAAGCCATCGCTCCCATCCGACCCACTGGCTCAGCTGTGCCCTGAGCGAACCTTCAAGGACATCCCAAGGACGAGTGGAACACCTCGTTTATCAAACACGAGCAGAGCGCCCAGCCTGTGAAACAGGCGCTGGGGGCCAAGGATGAGCTGAATGTCTCCATTGTTTGTTTGGCTTCCTCCCATGGATCTCTTCGAACAACGCGTCTGCCCACGAGCCACCTTGCCGTGCGCAGCACAGCTTTATGCACCCTCCGTTTCTTTCCATCTCTTCTGTGCATGGCTGGGAGCGCCCTGAGCCCACGGAGAAGCCGCCCACCGTCTCTGGGTCCAGGAAGCTGGGCAGGGGAAGCTTAATGAAAAAACCAGAGGCTGGGCGGCGGGGCAGGGCGTGTACTCAGAAAATCTGCGTTCCATCCAAGGGGCACGCTTGTTTGGTTCGCCCTGCATGGAGCTCCTCGGGTGTGATGATGGTTGGGGGCTTGGTCTGTTTTCCAGGCCCCACTGACAGCCACAGACACGGCAATCCTGTCGGGGAACCTCTCCACGCAGAACGGGAACGGAGGCGGCTCCGTCAACTTGATTCTGAGGCGGGTGACGTCGGCCAAAGGCTGGGGAGAGGTGAGAAGGCCAACTCCTGGATCTTTCTTTCTCCCCCCCCCCGCTCCCTCCTTGGCCCATTCCCAGCCACCCACCTGAGTGGCTTAGCACTCTGGCCTGCTTTGCCTGATGCGCTCCCATTGCCAGGTTGCTACAAGGGGGTGACACATGGGGGGGGGGGCTTCCTTCCCACCTGGCGAGCTTGACTGAGGTGGGGAGAGGATCAGGGAATGGTGCTCGGGAGGTCACCTTGCTCAGCTCCAGCCTTGGGCCTCCCTTGCGGTCATCCTTCTCCGGCCGGTGCGGTCCCTCTCCGGCCTCCCAAGCGACCAGTGACCCATCTTGAAACAGGTTCTTTTCCTTTCTCAGTCACAAAACCGCCATGGCTTGTGCAAGTGGGTTTCACTGCCCCGGGAGGACCGCCGCTGCATACTAGCAAGCATTTCTGGAGGGCCAGATGGGGAGGGAAGGGCTGTGGGGAGGCTGCCCCATCTGTCGCCTTCTAACGACTGTCCGCCTTCTCTCCGCACAGCTCGAGTTTGGAGCCGGCGACCTGCAGGGACCCTTGCTTGGCCTAAAAATGTTTCGGAACCTCACTCAGAGATGGTGAGAACCTGAGAAAGAGGAGCCGACGGAAAATTATTTCTCCCCATTTTCCTACCAATGCACATACAGTATTCAATATATTGCTACTTACTAGCTGTAGACCATAGGCTTCAAGGGGTAGAGCAGAAGGCTTACTTAGTGGAACAGCTGCCTTGGAAGTCTTTCTTCTCCAGGATTGACTGAAGTCTGCATAAAACCATCGTACGAGGATGGGCAATAGGGTTTCCTGCGAAAAGTTTGGATCAGCTCCTAAAGAGCGGTAAGGCCATCGGGAGCCACCCGGCCGTGTGTCTTGGCCAGACCTCGGTTGGGTTGCTGCGCCTGGCACCTCCTGGCCAGCACACTCACTCTTCCGGGTCTTGAAGGTCAGACACTCTCCACAGTCAAGGCCACGTCAAATGACTACGTGGAGAGCCATCCTTGCCATCCTTTGGCTGGAAAAGAGACCCGTCCTCTTGACGGCAGTCCTCACAAAGGGAAAGGTGGAAAAGCGGATGTGCCGATGGGTGAGCACCCAATCTTAGAGGGGGTCTCCCTGGAACTGACTTGCAAGTCCACCAAGACCAGTGCTTCTGACTGACCGACGTCCAGTCGGAAGTCACGACTAGAAGGAGGCCCGTTAAATCAACGAAACATACGGAGGAGGGGGTTCACCAAATCCCCCCCCCCCGCGTCCAGTCAGAAGTCACGACTAGAAGGAGGCCCATTAAATCAACGGAACATACGGGGGAGGGGGTTCACCAAATCCCCCCCCCCCGAATCAATGGGACGGACCACTTGCTACTGGATTTCAGCCGTAGAATCATCAAACTGAAGAGCTGAGAAGAGGCATGAACTTGATGCAAAACTAACCTCTGTTTCGAGCCCACTCCTTTCTGAGAGAAGTCACGACTAGAAGGAGGCCCATTAAATCAACGGAACATACGGGGGAGGGGGTTCACCAAATCCCCCCCCCCCGAATCAATGGGACGGACCACTTGCTACTGGATTTCAGCCGTAGAATCATCAAACTGAAGAGCTGAGAAGAGGCATGAACTTGATGCAAAACTAACCTCTGTTTCGAGCCCACTCCTTTCTGAGTTGGTCCGATCCACTGTCAGACAGCTGTCCCAGTCCAGGTGTTCTTCCTAAGGGAAAAACCTCTCTTTTTTGGGGGGGGGGAATTTGAATCTATTTTTCAGACTGTGCGACGGCCCCTGGGAGCCCAGGAGATGGGGAGGGAGGGGAGAGGGTTGGGAGTAGGAGCTGGGCTCTCCCTCTCCCCAATCCAGGCCCTCTTGGCCTCGCTGGGCCCACTTGCCCTGGGCTTTGTCTCAAGTGGACGTTGCCGCCCGCCTTGAGTGGAGGGAAGAGAGGCCAGTGCTGACCCCGCCCCCCCGAGGGCAGCACGACCCCAGGGATGGATCCGAGCCCAGGAGACTCTTGGAACAAGCAGGCCACCATGTCCGGCAAAATTTAGACCTCCGTGTCTGGGTTGGGTTGCAAGAGCTAGCCTTCCCAAAGAGGAAGGCAGAGTAAACATATTTTAAGAAAATGCACAAACCTTCTCCCATGTTTTCTGCAGTTCTACAGGGATAGGATGGCTTTCTCTCCCCAGGCCCAGAGAGGTGCGGGAGGCACTGAAGGAAAAAGAGATGAGGGTGTGGGTGGGTTGCCCTCTGCCCCTCTCGGGCTCCCCTGGTCTTTGGAAGTGGCGAGAGTCTTTGAGGTGCTGGCGGTGTGTTTTGTGGTGTGGCCTTCCCTAAGCCAGAGGGAGGGGAAAGGACCCTCCCCTTCAGCCGCCCCCTTTTTTTCCTCTCGCCTCCCTTGCAGTTTCATCACGACGCACGGCACACTACAGTCCTCCCCCCGCGGAATTCACCCGGGCTTTACCGCCGTCCTGGCCCGGCACCTGGACAAGAACACCATGGGGTACCTCCAGTGGCGCTGGGGCATTCAGTCCGCCATGAACACGAGCGTTGTCCGGGATACCAAGACCAGCCATTTCACGATGGCCTTTCAGGTGGGATCCCCCTGCCCCAGTTTGGGGAGGAAGGGAGGGTGATGGCCGGGTGTGGATGGTGGTGGTGGTGGACCGGTTCTTGCCGTAGGTGTTGGAGAGACTCAAGTCAAGGCAGCCCCCTTCGGGGGACAGGTGGCCTGTGGGTGGCTTCCTGTGTGTCGGGGGGGAGAGGCTGAGTGGAGGCCTTCGGGGATGCCCAAAGAACAACCCCCCCTTGCCTCCGCAAACCATCCCCTCCAGGTTGGAAAGAAAAGAGGAAACATGTCTCCACCAAACCCCTTCGAGGGCCTGGTTGGACCTTTTGAACCAGAAGGGGGGGAAAGGCCCGCTGGAGGGGCCAGCAGCCCACCTCCCTTCCCCCCCCCAGACATGGTAGAAGCTGGCCCACCCACCCCCTTCCGAGCCACGTAAGTCAGGGACCACCCTGGAGGGGCCAGCAGCCCACCTCCCTTCCTCCCCCCAGACATGGTAGAAGCTGGCCCACCCACCCCCTTCCGAGCCACGTAAGTCAGGGACCACC